CGTGGTCCCGGTGTGCCGGCAGCGCCGAGCTCCGGCGTTCGCCCGCGATTTCCACCTGAACCTGTTCGAGGTCCTGCCCTGGCTGAGGGAGCGGCTGAAGGACGAGGACCTGGGGTTCCTGCCCTGAGAGCACCTGGGGACACCTGGGGACACCTGGAACCACCCTGGACACACCTGGAACCACCTGAGATACACCTGGGGACACCTGGAACCACCCTGGGGACACCTGAGATACACCTGGAACCACTCTGGAAGCCTCCTGGTCACACGTGGACACACCTGGAGTTGCCCTGGACACACCTGGACACACCTGGAACCCTCCTGGTCACACCTGGACACACCTGGAGTTGCCCTGATCACACCTGGACACACCTGGAAGCCTCCTGGTCACACCTGGCCGTGTCCCCCCCGCGCTGTCCCCAAGCACCACCTGTGGCACCTGCCTGGACCTGTCCCACTCTCCCCCCAGGTGACAATGAACCTGTCCAGGTGACAATAAATGTGTCCAGGTGACAATAAAGGTGTTCCTGTTCCCCCTCAGGTGACAATAAACGAGCGCAGGTGACAATCAACGTGTCCCCATCCCCCCCCAGGTGTCTCCTGCTTGTCCCCATCCCCGCCAGGTGACAACGAACCTGTCCAGGTGACAGTGAACCCATCCCTGTTCCCCCTCAGGTGACAATGAACGCACCCAGGTGACAATAAACGCGTCCCCATCCCCGTCAGGTGACAATGAACCTGTCCAGGTGACAACGAACCCATCCCTGTTCCCCCTCAGGTGACAATAAACACGTCCCCATCCCCGCCAGGTGACAATAAACACGTTCAGGTGACAATAAACACGTCCCCATCCCCGCCAGGTGACAATAAACACGTTCAGGTGACACAGCACAGGTGACACAGATGATTCCTTTATCGCAGCTGTTACAGGTGACACGGGGGACACAGGTGACACACCTGTCCCAGCTGTCCCCAGGTGTGTCCCAGGTGTGTCCCACCTGTCCCCAGCTGTCCCCAGGTGTCCCCAGGTGTGTCCCAGCTGTCCCCAGGTGTGTCCCAGCCGTCCCCAGCCGTCCCCAGGTGTCCCCAGGTGTCCCAGCTGTCCCCAGGTGTCCCCAGGTGTCCCAGCTGTCCCCAGGTGTGTCCCCAGCTGTCCCCAGCTGTCCCCAGGTGTCCCCCAGCTGTCCCCCAGCTGTCCCCAGG